GGCTTCGGGGTTAGAGTTTAGGGCTTAGTAGGGTTTAGGGCTTAGGGTTTAGAGTTTAGGGTTTAGAGTTTAGAGTTTAGGGCTTAGGTCTTATCTAGAAGCCTGAAGCATGACAAACATGTTTCTTAGGTTACCCTACCACACCCCTACCATAACATAACGCAGAAACTTTGTCTACTTGCTACGGATGCAGGACTGTTGGTTTTCCAAGAGGTTGGGGGTTTGGGGTATAGGAGTGTAGAGTTTGGGGGATTAAGGGTTGTGTAGGGTATTGGGTTTTACAGCTTAGGGCTTTGGGGGTTTCCCTAAGGGTCCAAGTACCCAATTATCATATACTCTCAAAATTAGTAACCTACATAACTACTATCCCAAACTCGAGTACTCAATTATGGGTCCTTTGGACCCTTAGGGTTTTGGTTTCTGTTCTCGTCCTTAACCTGTGCAATTCGTCGTATGTGTGCTCTTCCCTGCATGACCTCCGCAGGAGTTCCATATTCTGGGCTTTGGAGTACCATACTTGAATACTTCTTTCTTAAAGGTAAAATTGTGAAATAAAAGTGTATACTTGTTCTCCCTGGTTACTTTAAAGGGAGGCGTCCAACATCGCAAGAGGACCTGGGGCAAGCTGCTATGTGCCTGAAGCACGGCAAGATGTGCCAGATTCCACCGGCAACAGAGAGGTCGTTCATAGCTGGCTTCGACTGCAGGCCATATTCCACGAAAGCCCCCGAATGTTTGAGGAAGACGCAGGCAAGTTGTCGCACTTAACTCTCGAAGCGGGCATCGGTCGCACATCCACCAGGTCGCCTGAGGAGGTTCGTCGTATTGGATGAGACGGCCGAACTGCTTTTGCATTTGCAGGCGAGTGTTTGTTGGAAGAGGGCTCCATTCAAGCCGTGTAGGGGCCTGAGAGCTTTTGTGGCCTCAAGCTTGCCAGTGGAGGCGAATCAAAGCCCTCCTCGCACGGCTAAGGTCAGGACACGGGCAGTTTTTGGGTTTGTGCAAGCAGCCAGCAGACAAGCCATCGTGCTTCCAACCCTTCGCGTTTTGGGATGCCCACGGGACCCCCCAATGACGGAATATCCATTAAGCTGCAGGGGCCCTAGTAGTATGCAGGTATATTCCTTAATTAAGGGTATTGGGCTCTCTGGGTTTAGGGTTAAGGTACCAAAGCTCTCTGCCCTCAGTATTTCCGCTACGATTCGAAGAATATTGCACCATGTATGGAGGCCTTTACACCCCTCACCATAATAGGGATCTCTATATGAGGTTTCCTTTTGAGGGTTTTGGGTTTAGGGGTTTAGGGTTCAGGGTTCGCCGGCACCTTCTCAGACAGCCAACTCTATGCCTACAGCATCATAACCGGTAGCGGTGGTAAAGCAAGATGGGCTTGAAGGTTGGTTCCTATTACAACACGAATCTAAGCCACCTAAACGCCAGAAGCTCAAAACCTGAAACCTTAAATCCTAACACCCAAACCCTTTAAAAAACCGGAAAAGATCCCGTAAAGGAACCCTTATAGATCCGTTAATTGAACCCTTATATATCCCTTGAAGGAGAAGGAGTCATGCCTATTGGGTAGCTTGACTAGTAACCAACCGGCGCTAAAGCCCTAAACCCTAAACCCCAGAAGCTAAAAACCCTAAACCTTAAACACTCAACCCTAAACCCCGAAACCTTATGGATCCCTTAACGGACCACTGATAGATCCTTGTTATGACAAATTCTAAAGACACTCCAATATCCCTGAATTCAGCAGTATAACTGCCTCAAGATCATAGTAGGATCCCTAATATGAGTTCTCTCAGGGATATTACCCTAAACCCTAACCCTAAACTCTAAACTCTAAACCCTAAACCCTAAACTCTAAACCCTAACCCTAAACTTTACACCCTAAACCCTAAACCCAGACACCTTCTGTGCCTCGCAGGGTCTCGAGCTGCGCCTCGCCACCTCTGCGGAGGACAGCCGAGACTCAGGGCAAGGGCGCATACTTGGAGGTTCATAGGCAGTTATAAGTGGGGTTAGAGGACTTATAACCCCACTTATAATTACCCCTGAACCTCCGTAATCGAATAGGGGTCTGCAGAGTTCAATTAAGGGATATAGACGGGTGCAACTAAGGGATCTATAAGGTTTCTTGTAAGGGCTCATAGGTGATCAGGTAAAAGAATAGGTTTGTATAGGGGTCTGTACGGGCTCTTTTGAGTTTAGGGATTTAGGGCTTAGGCTTTAAGGGGCTTTGGGTTTAGGGTTTTGGGAGTTCGGGGCTTGGGGTTTACGGTTTGGAGGTTTTAGGGTACAGGTTTGGGGTTTGGGGTGCAAGGGCTTAGAGTTTGGCCCATTATAAAGCATTGTCAGCACTTTTAGACTGTTATATATAGTTGAAAAGCAGTCAGATTTGGTTTCGCGGGTGATGTAGAGTATACTGTGGATGTTAAGGAGTACTGTAGCCTGAGGCTCCTGGACCCTTGTAGTGAGATCCCAAACCCTAGCTCCCAAAGCCAAAACCCTCCCCCAGAAAGCCCAAGACCCTCTTAGGAGCCTTAGGGTAGCTAATTATTTCCGGCCTCTGTAGTAAGTAGTATATACATGGTTTAGGGGTTCGGGTCGCGGGCTCAGGGTAATGGGGCTCAGGTATGTCAGGGTTCCTTTAAAGGGTTACTATAAGGGTACCATAAGGGCTCCTTTTGAGGTTTAAGGGGTAGTGGTTTAAAGTTTGGGGTTGAGGGTTCTGGGTTCGGGATCGAGGGATGCCCTAAGGCTCCAAAGGGGCCTCGGGCCCAAAGTATATACTATTTGGGTACATGGACCCTTGAACCCTAGAACCCTTACAGGAAGCCTTAAAGGAACATGGACCCTGCGGGTTAGGGCTTATGCAGGGTTTAGGGGTCGACTTAAGGTTCCAGGGCCCCGGGTTCAGGGTTGTCGGTCGTGGAGGTATGAGCCTAGACCGTGTTACCCAAATCCCTAACCTTTCGGCTAAATTTGTAGGCTTTGTCATTACCTATACTATTTTGGGGGGTTCCTGATCGTAGTACAATATACCCCAAAACCCTACGCTGGCTCAAGTGTGAGGACCTTCTCGTGGTTGGTCTGTTAGTTCTTTGCTTCCCGTGACCATGGCATCGGGCTTCGAACCTTGTCGATTCGGTGGATGCGTAAGTATCCTTCTGCTAGTCATGTGGTGTGGACTTATCCATACCACCCTCACCGCCACGCGGTTGCCTGATGCTTTTGGTCTGATGGTTTGCCATCAGCAGGGGGCAGGCATGTTGCCAAAGTCAGCCAATCTGTTTTGCATAAACCACCCCTTTGCCTGCACGATGAGACCAACTGTCTCTACACGGTCTCGCTCTCCACCAAGGCCTCATGAAGCCCCGTTTGTGGTGACAGATGTACGACGTCCCCGCGTGCCTCCCCGACCAAGGAGTCTTACTGGTGATGAACGCCACAATCCACGAGACTCTTCCTCTGCTCCGCTTCCGCCTTGTGTCCAGATTTGTAACCCCACGTGCTCAGCCGGTCATGGGCGAAATTGTTGCAAAAGAATCCTTGAAACAAAAAAATATCTAATGAGCAGGCTGATGCAATCACTTTTGTTCATTCGCACTGATCTTTGTGAATTGCAAGACCCGGACAGAGATCACAGTTTCCAAGGCCATGTTGGCACATTTCCAACTACCATCGAGCGCTTTATGAACAACACCGCTGCACTCGTAGTTCTCTTCCACACCATGGACATGCTCCGCACATGTCGCGGAAACATCTGGATTGGTGTATTCTGCAAACAGGGCCGACATCGAAGTAGTTGCTGTGTGGAGATTTTGATGCTATTGCTTCCGGACACCCGTCAACACAAGCAGTTGCATTTGCTTCACCTTGGTGAGTCGCATTGGCATACGACTCGTCAGGGCTGTAATCCGACGGTAGACTGCGGTCAGGCATTGTCCGGGACAGGTGGAGTCAAGCTCCTGTCCCTGAGGGCTTTAGGCCCGGCGAGATTCACGTCTTCAGACGGCGAGTGGCATCTATGGATCTCTTGTCCCACGGCGTTGCAGTGAACGTTGCAAAACCCATTCCGAAAACAGCCTTAATCACAACAAAACTTGAGGATATCCTTGAAAGATTCAAGCAGAAACACATTCTTGAGCCGCGAAACCTTACCCGTAAATTCGTAGATGTCCGCTGCTACGTGTCTTCGATGTACAGTTATTGGGCGTGGGTCAGTTAGGTATGTTTCGATATAATGTTGCATTGATGAAATCATTGCAAAGCTTGGTTTGCAGTGATACTTCAAAGCGAAGCTAGACTCCTTCAAAGATGCACAAGGCATCATCACCTGTACTCGCCTCCGGCTTCTGTCCGCATGCACCCCAAAACCCTATTTCAATCATTAAGGCCCCTATGCTCAAAAAAATTGTTTCATGTTTCATGCTACGCACGGAGACTTTGAGCGTAGAGTTCCTTCGGCATCTGGTTCAGCTCGCAATATCCTTTCCCAAGCCAGCTTCACCTGAATCGTCAAAAGAAGTCAGGCGCCTTAATTCCCTAAATTCGAATGTTGAACTTGTAGACCCTAAGCTCCTTTGGGCAAGCTTTCGGGATCAAGATGTAGGGCCCAGGGTCCTAAACCTTGAATGAACCCTAAGCTTCCTCGCGCAATCCCTGCCGTTCCGTAGCCGTACACAAGCCGTACACAAAATTTCAAAAGCTGGCATGCATGGCCTTGCGCCACGCCAAACAAATACCGAAAGCCATACTTGGCAAAATTCGCGCTAGTTTGGTTATGCTCACATATATACATATACAAGCTTATTCGCACAGCGTTTTTAACATATGTATATCTAAATAGTCATTTACATTGTATGTATATATATATATATACATATATATATATACATGCACATGAATATACGAACACAGACATACATGCCGGCATACAAAGGCTTTTGTGCATTAGTCCCGATGGATGCGCACATTGAGTGGCCTGGAAGCCGATGAAGAAGCCTGCGAGTCAAGCTGCGCACCTTTGCACAGCGTTTAGGGTTTAGGGGGTTTTCCTAATTTAGGGTACATAGGGGTTCCATTAAGGGTTCCCTTCACGGGATGTATAGGGTTCAGGGGTTTAGGGTTGAGGGTTTTGGGGTGTACGGTTGAAGGCTTCACGGTTCCTTAAGCACTCAATCGCGCATCCCCTAAACCCTAAACCTTGCTGGGTTGTGCTTTGGGATTACTTTCAATTTCCCTTCTTTCCGTATAAAGGGAACCTATTCATAAATATTTTTCAACGGGTCTAAAGCACCGCCCAGCTTGGCTTTGATTGGAAAGCCGAGGCCAGCGCGGCGCGTCTCCAAAGCGTGTCTTGGGAAGTTCCTGAAGTCTTACAAAGGGCTGGAGGACTCCAGGGTTTAGGGTTTACGGCTGGAGGATTCGGATTTGTGGTTTAAGATTTCGAGGATTTGTCAAAGTGTTTGGGGCTGGGTCCAAAGCCTCATCCTTACCGGTGTCTTCACGCCCTCATCATCTTCATCATGCTCGCAAGTATTGTTGTCGTATCGCTCAGATCGGCCGCCGAAAGCCTTGTGCGCAGCCATTCTGGGAGGCTCAGGAACTCAGAGGTCCTTTTGTGGGGATTTGTCTACTAAAGATCCCTCCTAGTTTATGTTCGCTTATACTCACGTTTCTGAAGCTTTCATTTGCTTCACACGTAAGGCAAACATAAGAAACCTAGGCCTCAGGACTCCCAAAATTTAGATCCCAAGCCCTTACCGAGATCCAGAGGACATCCACCTGCCACTGTTTCGGGAAGTGAAGCGTGTCTCCAAAGCACAGAGTGTCTTCCTCGCACCTCATGAACCTGAAGCCTGCAGCTGAAACATCAAATTGAAGAACTCTCGAAACCCCAACCCTAGGGATCTAAGGACTCAGATATTGAGGCTTTTGGGCCCATAGACCATACTATTTAAGGCTTTTGGGCTATTTTGATTTCTAGGGTAAACCCTGTAAGCCGTAAACCCTATCTCAACATGGGCTCTGTCACAAATGCGGGGAATGGAGACTCTAAGTACTTCGTTGTCACTGTGCTTTTCCGCAGCTTATTTCGATTGAGCAAGGGCGTTACTGTTGAGCAATCGAGCGGATAGAGACAGCATGGGCAGCAGCAGCATGCTCGAGAACATGCACGGTAGTATCGTCGTGGTGTCGAGAATAAAAGTCAGCGTCGTCGCAAAAGTCGTCCGAGCCATAGTAAGATCTCAACAGCCGCAGTGCGACTGCGATGCAGACCAATCAAGTCATAAGTCCTATACCCTGTCTAAGCCCTAAACCCAAGATGCCGCGAAGTTCTTAGCTGAAGGGTCCGTGTACCCACATGGTATCTGTTTTGGCCTTAAAATTGTCTCTGCAAAGGTACTTTGGGGCCAAAGTATATACCTTTTGGGTATATGGACTGGAACTCTTCTATGATTTGAGGCATCTCCCTTACATTAAACTAGGAACCCTAATATTGATTGAAGGGATATTACTTCAACAAGGGGTCTTGGAGTCTCCGCGTCTTCCTCTGGAACTTGCGAGGCCTACACTCCGCTGCAAACATCGAGACTCAAAACCCGGAACCCTCGATTCCGGACCATCATACCGAAACTGCTTTCCTGAGCCCCAGCACCCAAAATAGCATGCAAAATAGGCACGGTCGAAAAACTTAAGACCCAATTGTATTACTTTGGAGGCCGTAGGTTCTATATCAAAATCCATATCAAAGTTCTGGGTTTCAGAGGAGGGGAAACAAGCACTCATATTTCTGCTTGCCCCAAAGCAGGCCATGTAGGCTGACGGTGTATTGCAACTAATCGGACTAGGACGGGATACTCTTACTTAGTTTCCAGACTTCCATTTTCAATCTTTTCATGTGCGATAAAAGCTTCTAGTTTTTGCGGTTGTGGTTCTGTAGGACTGGGGATTATGGAGGTTCATAGGTAGTCTTTCTGGATTATACATTCAGCTACGCTCCTTACAACTGCACTGACAAGTACCCATACACCCTAAACTGTATGGAACCCTTAAAGGGACCCTACTCATTGCCACACCTTCAAACTACTGTAGCCAAGAGCCTCCAAGTAGGTCTGGGGCGGGGTGGGATTTCGGACTTGCAGAGCTGGGGTTGACGTTTGGGGATCGCGGGTTCTGGTTTGGGGATTCGGAGTTTAGCTGAGTAGCTGAGTGGATACACTTATTACCTGGTATAGAACTGAAAGTGTAAACTCCTGGCGGGTTTATGAACTCAGCAACTAACTTAGGGTTTAGAGCTCAGGGGTTAGGGTTTAGGGGTTGGGGTTTTCAGTTGAGGGTCTAGAGTTTAGGGTTCAGGGTTTCGGGCTAGGGTTAAGGTGTACTTCTAGGCCCTCAACCTTCAACCCTAGACTCGTAACCGTCATAGGGTTGGGGAGTGGATGAGCTTATGCCCTTTTGCGCAGGTTCACGGTTACTTGTAAGTAGAATTGTTAGTCGGGGGAACGTTTTTGAAGTTAATCAATCAAGGCACCTACCAAAACCCTGGCCCTATTGGTACCCTAGACTCTAAACCTACTTAGGAAATTACGACCCATGCACCGATTATGCACCCTTAACCTTTTAAGCCTTCGTTACGAACCCGGCTGCAGCGAAGGCGTGCTTTATCCCGGCAGTTACTGGCATCTGACGGCTTCGCTGGTGTTTTCCAAGGTCCTCTACATCGATTCGCGTCTGCAGGGGGTTGAAAGATTCTTGGAGGGTCTCGGGACTTAGTAAGTAGGTAGTAGGTAGACTTAGGAGTACCCTGAAAGTGACTCCTAATTGGGGTTATGGTACTTATAAGTCCCTAAAATAACCAGTTACTAAGTCCCCTACACCCTAAACCCTAAACCTTCATAGAATCCCTGTAGATCCCTTTAAAGGGGCCCTTTAAAGGAACCCCTTATAGTTACGAAGTCCCCCGACCCTCCAAGTTCGGGTTCCTGGGTGGAGGTCCTCGGAGCCAAGAGTTTAAGGTTTACCTTAAAGGGAACTCCAGAAAGTTAGAATATGGTTTCAGGGTAGGATACCTTATAATTTACCATAAAGGGTTTTAAAGGGTAATCATATTCCAACTTTGTGGCTTTTACTTTAACCCTGAATATCCTACCTAACCTGCCTTTTTTGGGGGTTCCTTATTAGGATTTCCTTATATGAGTCCTTAAAACAGGTAGGTTTAGGGTTCCTTATGTATGATTTCCTTATATTGAGTCCTTAAAAAAGGTGTACAGGTTATTTGGGGTAAAGGTAGGGCTTCGAAGGGCATCGAGTATAGGAGTCTCAATCACTCGTAGCATCCCCGCCGAAATGCCCTTATCGTACAGTTCCGAAGACGCCTGACGCCCTGCACCATGCACTACCAGGCTTATCAGGGGCTGAAAATGTTTTCCCATGAAACATTTCGCCGAGGCTGCAAGCCATACGGAGTTTGGGTTTGGGTTTTATATAGGTTTCTAAGGGTGTCGGGTACTTGGTTGGCTTCAGGGGTTTATGCACGCCGAGAGAAGAACCGCCAAAATTGAACTCGCCAGCCCAGGATTGCGACAGCAAGGTCGGTCAATTTTTCCAAGATGAGCCACTACTGGAATGGGTCAAGGACGGGAAGCTGGAGAGCTTAAAGGAGCCACCTAATGAACCTAATGAGAGCCCAGAAACACGGAAATTTGAATACTTCGAGGCTTTGGGGCCCGAGGACGACTCTACTACACTGCTTAGGGTTAAATAGCGTTAATTTTTTAATTTTTCTGGTTGTTGTTTTTTGATGGATCTTATGTTGTTGATCTGTTTGTTTCTGCTGCTGCGCTGCTGGCATGGTGGTGATCAAGATGTTGTGACTGTCGTGGTCGTCGTCGTTGTCGTCAGGGGTCTTCGGGCTTTAGGGTTTATCCAGGTTTTGGGCTTTAAGTGAGGGTTCAAGGGTTTTGGGCTTCGGGGCTTCAGGGCATTAGGGCATTACCACAACTTTAGGATTTAGTATAGAGGAGTTTGACGTTGTTCTAGCTTGGCTTAAAGGCTTAGCGACCCGAGGTTGTGTTAAGAGTGAAAGCGACTTTGAACTTGGCGGCATATCTTGGGCCAGTGCGTGAGCTGGGTGCTCGGCTTCTTTAATACCGGAAGCGGGTTCTGGTAAAATAAATGTAAAATGCTTTTGGAGCCTTGCTGGACAGTCTCTAGCCTGTTAGTACATGCTTAAAGCTAGTTGCTAATCATGAGTTCGTCGTTGTGCTGACCTGAGGTCCGCCCCTGTAAAAGCGGCCGGGGGCCAAGAGTGCCAATCCGAAAGTGTGTCGCAAAGGTGACTCACAGTCTTTTCCCCTGTCCTCTGCAGGTTCATTCAGCTGGAAATCTGAGCAGTGGCCGAGCAAGCATTTCTGCATCAGCGGAAAACTTTTGCAACCCACGTAGCCGGGCCGATGAGACGTTTCCAACTCTCCCTTCGGCATGTGCGTCCTCAACCCCTCAACTCCTGTTGCCGACTGCTTTCGGCTCAGGGTTGCAACTCGGCACAGGTAGGGCTCGTGGACACGACTGTCCGACTATGATGCCTATGAAGGTTGTGTCCGAGCTGTTCCCCGGGCCCGAGAGCAGCTGGCCCAAAATCTCGGGCTGCCAGAAGGAGCCTAAGCGAGTCGGCTGCCTTTCGAGTCCGACGTCAATTCACCACCAGCCTGTGCAAGTTCAGTCTTTCAGCACGATGCCGTTTCCCGCAGGACCGATAGACAGGCAAGACCCATGTCCGAGAAAGCACTGGGTCAGGATGAGTGAGACCGAAGAAGCAGCCGCATAGAGGATCCTACAACCGCAGGTCTATGTGGACAACATCCTGACCAAGTTGTGTCCTGACTTGCCCGAGCAGTTTCTTCGATCGTTGTTGCCGGATCCAAGAGACGACTTCACCGAGAAAGACTGGAGATATGAATGTTTGCGTGCCCGAAGGCTTCTCAGGCTCTTATGGTGGCTTCACAATCCTTCTTCTCTCAAGCAAATCGCAGCCCATTCAAGGACCCAGAGACAAGATAAGCGGACCGCTTTCGTGGCCTCCCTTGTACAGATGTGTTCCCACTTGCCCGAGGCATTCGTCCGATCTTGTTTGCCGGATCCTATGGCAGACGTCGGAAAGACGTGCTGGGAGAAAGCATTGTTTTCTGCTAGACGGCGCCTCAGGTTGCTGTGTTGGCTCCATTTCCCAGATTTGGGCCAGATAGCAGATGGTGATGCGGAGGAGCAGCGGTCCGAGCTATTGGACAGCTCCGGGTCGTGCTTGTAAGTTTTGGGGACAAGTTTCACTATCAGGTCCGAGGGGTGTTTTAACACTGCGGCTGCTTAGAGATTGTTAAATAATACTACTATCATTGCACAGCCTATTATGGACAGACATTGACAAAATGCCCCTCGCATAAATCACAAGGGCCCGGGGACAAGCCCGAGAACAGAGTCAGAGGGGTTTGCTGGCAGCGTGGCAAAACATTGACAGGCTTGCTGTCGCTGTCGTATCGTTGCGTATCGTTGACGTTTTGGTCTGGTGATGTGTCTGGTTGTTGTGTGTGTCTGTGCCTGCTGATGCTTGATGCTGCTGCTTATGATGTTATCAATCAAAACATAAATAATTTTTTAATTTTCATCGCAGCCTTAGTGCAAGTCTAGAAGCCTAGAACCCTGGAAGCCGAAACCCTACAACCTGTAAGCCCTAACCCGAACCCTCAAAGCCTACCTTGCAACCCTGAACCCTCAAGCCTATAATTCCGGAGCCCCAAACCCATAAATCAGGATTCAGGCGTCCAGGCATTGCTCTCGCTCGGATTGATTGCTGACTGCTTGCTTGAATTCTAAGCCGTTACACGGGGCCAGTACGAAGCCCTTTGAAATCCCTGCCAGGTCCCTTTGAAGGAGTCCTTTAAGCCCTACCTAAGAGCGATCAAAAAATCACCAAACGACCCTGGAATCCCTAAACCCCCAAATTCTAAACCCTATAGTGCCTCGGGCATAGTGTCGAGGAGCACAAAGACTATGCATCCAGCCCGGAGATCGACTTCCGCCAGCCCCCTGCCCCAAGCCTTTTTTCAATTGGGGTCACTTTTAGATTCCTTTTGTTAGGGTAGCGTATTATCTTGGGCCCCAATTTAGAGAACTACCCAATGTAATAATGTGTTCAACCGGGGCCTTGCGAGGATTTGTATAACGGTTGCTGAATGGATTCGGAAGGTCCTTGTTTTTGTGAACTCTGTCGGGATCTTCTAGGCATCTTAATAAGATTCGTATAGGGGTGTCCACGAGTTGTTCGTGGTTCTGAAGTTCTAAAAGTCTGTCTAAGGAGGGCACAGTTTCAATGGTTGAGGGCTTCGAGCTGTTAGGGTTTGGAACTTCGGGCTTTTGACTGACATGTCTTCGACAGTACTTGGGTGCAGCATTAGGGTTTATGGTTTAGTGTCAGAAGCAGTGGCGGCACCGCAACCGATAGCCCGAAGCCACAACGACGACAGCACTGCCTGCCCCAGCCACTTTCGGGCACTGCCGTTGCCAACAGCAATGCCACTGCCATCGGCGCTGCCGACTTCGCCACCATTTGCAGCAACAGGAGCCGCAAGCGCAGAAGGAAGCACTCCACTAGCAATGATAGCAGCAAGCACAACGTCAGCATTGCAATCATTGTACTGATCATATGCAACATCATCCTGAACAACAGTTCCCTGACGAGTTCTAACAGCAACCGAACAGCACGAATGAGAACACAAGGGCCTGCTGTCCCTGAGGCTGAGGATCCCGCAAGGCTTTCTTCCCGGAGAGAGTGGTAACAGCAGTGGTAGCTCTACGGAGTTCTTACTTGCTCACCCCAAGCCCGAGAATCAAATTGGCTCGACCTCTAAATTCTGAACCCTCCACCCAAAAAACCAAGAACCCTAAACCCTTAAACCTGAACCCCGGACCGGAAGCCCTAAGTTTCAGCCGCTCTTAGCTTCCTGCAAGGCAAAACTTTGAACGCCTGGACGTTCCGGAGGAGAGCTGCTGGGACATATGAATGCATGCCAGTGCAAACCCTTAACCCTCTAAACCCTGAAAAACCTTAAGCCTTGTAAACGCTAAGCCCGGAACTTTTCTTTAGGCACCACAAACAAGAACCCTTTAGGCTTCGACTTGCTTATCTCCATGAGCGCTGGCATTGTATCGAAGCCCTGCGGCCGATACGTCAAGCGCGGAGGCCGCTTGGTGGCTCTGGGGTTTAGGGCCTTTGGGTTTACGCTTGGGTTTGCGATGGATTAATTACAAATCTGCTTGTCGCAATATCACCGCCGCACTCGGACATCCCTCATTTTCATGCCTTGTTAGTAACGGATCCCCCTGATCCTCCGTACAACGCCAAAACTAGAAACCGCAGAGCCCGTAGCGACTTCAAGCGACATTCATCAACTTCAAAAACCGCAAATCTGAACGAGGATTAATGATTGACCCTAAATCCAAACTCAGAAACATAAAATTGAAACCTGAAGCTTTGCTTTCAAACTTATTTCTAACCTATTATCGTAAGCCTAAAGCTACCTCAACTGCCAAACCTGCAGCCCTAAGCTGAAAACTCTCTACATGGCACGGTTTAGGGGCGTAGGGCTTAGGCGTCTAGGGTTTATAGGGTGAAAGATTGCAAGTAAGCCCTGGCCCTACCTCCAGCTGGAAAACCCTCTATTAACCCGAAACCCCGACAGCCCAACCAATCCTAAATGCTTGGGTTGTGCCAAATAGTTCATGTTTTGACCCCGACAAATGTCCCTTTTGAGGGACGACTTTACTGCCAAGTAAGTATGTGCTTACTACCCGTCGTTGTCCGTTTCAACATCGCTTGAAGCTGCACAGTAGGAAAATCGAATCCTTTTGCAAGGGATTTCTTGAGCCGAGAGCAAAAACAGTCCGAGCCTAAACCCTTATATAGCTTAAATGATTACCAATCCCATTCTTGACAGTCCACATTACAAGCAAGTAATAAGATTCCCCAAGACTTTGTTCTAACTTCTAGCTATTCGTGTTGAGGCTATTTTCTCGTGTCCGATGCCCACTTCGATGCGCGCACTACGGCGCTGGATCCACGCTTCGAGCTCGTTGCAGCGGCATGGCTACACAGTAGTACTAGCCATACTCAGGATGAGGTTCATCAGCAGGCGATCAAGTGCCGATACGTCTTATACTTAGGCCCTAACGTACCTACCTAGGACCCCCGTCAAGGCCTAGGCCTAAGCATTTCTTATATAGCTCTGTGGAGCCTTCGGGGTCAACATCATCACACGCATCATCCTACTGATTGCCTCTGACCTTCGCAAGGCAGAGCCTGCAATAACAGGGTGCTGGATAGTTCGTATATATATATATATATATATATATACATATATATATATATATATATATATAATATACGATTATAGATGAAGTAGGTTCGCGGTTTAGAAAAATCCCAAAAATAGCTATTCCTACACGTAATCCTATCTTTCGAATGCTACTGTAAGTATTGCAAGGCCCCCAAGAAATCTGCAGCTGGCTGAGGTTTACAACCCGGAGACAAAGAGGTGGGTCGGTTAAGCCCCCCTGAACCCTAAAGCCCTGAACCCCCGAACATGATGACCCTAAGGTGGAAAAAACACTTTCAACTCTACACCCTAAGCCCTATACCCCTAAACCCTAAAACCTTTAAACCCTAAACCCCTAAACCCTAAACCCCTAAACCCTAAGCCCTAAGCTTAAAAAAAAACCAAAACCCTTGAGTCCTGACACAGGCTCGAGACGAAAGACCTTGCATCTTGCTTCATGACGACTGCGGGCGAGAAGATCTCCGCCAACCAGGTCGGGATCTAATCTGCGGGCCTAAAAAATAAACAATACTATGTTGGGAGGTTCCCTATAAAGGGCCCCCAAAACCCTATTCTGATTATTAAGGCTCCTGTAGTAATCTTGCCTTCGTACACAGGGGTTAAGGGGCTTGTTTAGGATTTAGGTACCAATATTCATTTTTCAAAGACAGGGGTCCTTTCTGCACTAGTGAAAAGATACCCGAAAGCCTATTCCGACTATACAGGCTTTGAAATACGTCCCGCTGACAAGGCCTCGATTCGGGAATTTCGAGTCTTACAAGTGGCAGGCTTCGCCAAAGAAGCTCCTCTTGGAGGGTCGAGGGACTTGGTAAGTAGGTAGTAAGTAGACTTATAAGTACCCCAAAACGGGACCTTAATTGGGGTTATGATACTTATAAGGCCTGTAAAATAACTAGTTACTAATTCCCCCGACCCTCCAAGCTCCCAACCTGCTGTAGCAGGGAAGACAGCTCTATCCACTGTTTCAGAGCTGCCATGCCCGAACGTGTTGAATAACCTAAGCCTCGTACCTTAAACTCTGAGCCACGAGCGGTCACACGGTTTCGAGTCTTTCGATGGCTTTCGATGCTGGCGCGGTCAGAAATCTTTCTACGCAGTTGGTCATGTGGTGCAGAAACTCCATGCCCTGATACCGGAACGGATTTTCTCATTTACTTGATCGCAGCATGCCCGAATTTATTTTTGCACCTGGAACTAGTCCGTGGTATATGGGCAGCCTCTTCGCGCAAGGAACCCTCCATGAACCTAGCCACCCTTCCAAACTGGGCACGCCGTGCGATCTCCAAGCTGGAAAGACTTTTTCCGAGCCGCGTGTCAGACTCTTCAGGAATAAGTTCTGAAAGGCCCCTGCTCTCACATGCCACATGAGCAGTTGTTAAACTTAAGGTCCCATTTTGGATACCCTAAATAATAGATGCCGTATTATATTGAGGACCCGAAAAGGGACCATAATTTTGACAACCACCCACATGCTAACCGTTATTAACCGGCCATGAGGTATGAAATTCAGTCTTCACAGGGGCAAGTACTCAGACACTGAAGCCAAAATAACCTCAAGCCTAAACTGAACCCTAAACCCTTACCCAAGATACCCTTTACCCGCACACCGTGAGCCCGTGTCACTGGAACCCTGAACGTCCCAACCCCAGAAACATTACTACTATTTGCTTAAGAACCCCCAAAAAAATAAAAAAAATATTCCTTATGGGGGTAATATAGGGATTATTATTTGGATTTTTTTTGGGTGGGTTCTTAGGCAAATAGTAGATTAGCAGTTTGAAAGGCCCCAATTGAAGCGCACTGAGTCGGACATTCCTTTGGGAACCTTACAGCAAAGCCTAGGGTTCCTTTAAAGGAATCTAATTATTAAGGGTACCTTTAAGGGCTTCCTTTAAGGGATCTATAGGGGCTTTAGGGTTTTAAGCCTCATAAAGTTGGAAACCGGATTAAAGCCAGATAGTGCTGGGAGTCCCTATACGTTACTCTCAAGCAATGAGGCTATTGGGTTTCCAACTTTTGGGCTTCTACTAAAATTATGTTCCCCTTACAGGGTATACCGCTTTGCACCTAAACCCTAAGTTAAGCCTAGACCCTAAACCCTTGCAGGTGAAGGCCAGCATTGCCAAGCCGAAGGGAAGCCGTGGTTTCAAGCTGAAGCGCGAGGATTCTCGGTGTTCTTCTGGTTGGCTCTTGGGACTTTCACTTTTTGGGCTTCTACAAGAAGTAGCTGAACAAAAACAAAGAGGTTAAAAGTTTGTCTTTAATTTTTTTGGCTTCTATATGAACTATAATAAGGAAGCGAAAAGTTTAACTTTAAGGAGGGGTTCAGAAGTCAGCCAAGGATTGGTTCCATCTCTTCAAGCGAATCAGATGAGCTGCGCCTTGGGATGATTTGGGTTTCGGGTTTGGCTTAGGGTTTGGGGTTTACCGGCCTCGAGTTTCGGGGTTCAGGGTTTAGGCTGAGGGGTTCAGACAAGCAGGTATTTTTCAATAGGTCCCACATGGGAATCCACGGCCGTCTCTAAGATATAAAGTATGGATTCTGGGTGTGCTTTTGGCTTACATATGGTGCTACAACAGCATGAAGCAGAGAAGGTTCAGGGTGTTGAGCTCTGCTGGTTTAAGGTTTCAGGGTTTGCGGGTTATCGGCCGTAGAGGGGTGGGCGAAGCTTCCGTTTGACGAAGCCCTGGTGTGAATAGGGTTTGGGCGCACTGGCACGCATACAGGGGTCGGAATACTTGCCAATAGTATTCCTGAATGTTCCTTCATCGATTAATGGTCTTGTATAGTGAAGTCTGCACGAAGACCGAATTTTACTTACGAAACCCTTCTATGCTTAACACCCCTATAAGCCCGCCACAAAAAAGCACGACATTGCGAAGTGCCGTATCTCAAGGCAAGCGATCGCAGAGAGTCCAAAGCGACAGGAGCTCTCAGCGGCGGGTCTGTGCGAGGCTGCAAAAGAAACGTTGCATCGCTGTGCCTGAGCAAGATGTAGAGCCCTGCTTGGAGGGTCGGGGGATGTAGTAACTAGTTGTTTTACAGGCTTAATATAAGTATCATAACCCCAGTTAAGGTCCCCTTTTAGGGTACTTATAAGTCTACATACTACCTACTTACTAAGTCCCCCGACCCTGTAAGGATCTGCCATCCGTGTCATCTGCAGATGTGCGCCCGGCTCTGAGTCACCAGCAGATACCTATAGCCTATAACTAACCCTATGCTTCCAGGGACCTTATTATTGGGTCCTTCAGGGGTCTACTGTAGGGCCCTAACTATAAGGTCCTTGGATGCATGAGGTAACAATAGGTGTTCATTGTAGTTCTTTTTTTGTGGTTTAGCATTTCTCATATGGGTGGTTGTCAGAATTAGGGTCCCTTTATGGGCACCCTAAATAATAAGTGCCGTATTATAATAATAGTGACCCAAAAAGGGACCATAATTTTGACAACCACCCATATATTTAGGATCCTTTCAGTCAGGTAACCCAAAAGGAGACCAAAGGTAGGATTCAACTATATAACCTGGCCCCTAGGGGAGGACTTGCATTCAATGCAGGTTTAGGGTTTATAGGTATGGTTGAATAGATCAGTCAGCACATAAGCCCAGTAGTTAGCAAGGTTGTTGATGCTCAGCCGTTGTACAACTCGGGTAGACTGCGCGCGACCGTGAGGAAGAGTACACTAAACACGTAGGCTGCAAGGTTCTTTGTTCGTGACGATCCTCTATAAATGGTGCAGCGACCAGCCAGTGCTACGAGCAGATGTCAACCGTAAACTCTCGATCTCTCCTCCCCTACGAACGGTCCTGCATCCGAAACACTACAAAACTACAACCCTCCCGAAACACTCCCTACCAACCCCCCCAGCCCACAAGCTGGTAAGGCTTAGCAAAGTCATTTCCGAAGTACCCTGCCTCCGGGGCATAGCACCTGACAGAGTCCTATTTTTCGTTGAAAGGCGAGTAGTAGAGTCCCGTCCACTTCCGCGGAACCTCACCAACGAATTCTAAGACGGCCACCCGATCTCCATAAAGTTGTTATAAAAATCTCTTTGTCCAAGCACCATCCAAAATCCATCTTAACCCCAGTTAAGGTACTTCGAATCCCACTTGTTTATGCTAGTAAACCTTGAAAGCCCTGGACCCTTAGATCCAGGACTTTGGGGTGAGCCCGGGGCCTTCATAATCAGAATAGGGTTCGGGGTCTACAATAGTACTTGTAGAAGTATGTTCGGACTAGATGTGCATCTTATTGGCGCTTTTATTGTTTATCTGGACCTTTGTGGCAGGTCCTTCCGGTTTCGGAGTTAGGGCTTGGGGTTTTGGGGCTTAGGTTTGGGGTTTATAGGGTTTAGGGTTTAGTTTGGGATTTGGGGTTTAGGGAGGCCGGCGGATTGCAAGGTCAGGAATCTCCATCCCTACATCCTAAAGTTCCAAAGCTGCAAAACCCCAACACCGAGCCCGAAAAACGTTTAGGGTTTAGGGTTTTAGGGTTTAGGGTTTTAGGGTTTAGGGTTTAGGGTTTTAGGGTTTAGGGTTTAGGGTTTTAGGGTTTAGGGTTTAGGGAAACATAATTCCTGTCCTGGAGCCAAAAACACCTCCTGATCGTGGTGTCTTTATGTACTTCCTCGTTAAAAGGGTCGTTTTTTGGTGCTAAACCTGGGCCCCCAAATCGATCGAACCCCACGTAAGATACCCCTGAGTGATCCTTCAAGCATGCCTGAGCATGGAGGATCCCTGGTCGTTTATATGGTCGAAAGTGTGTAATGTAAGGGCCATAACATTTAGAATAGGGTGTTGGGGGTTCCTGATTAGACTTGTAGTACAATATCCCCCCAAACCCCATTCCAATTATTCAGGCCCCTACATTAGCGTCTATGGTGTCTTCAGGAGGGAAGGGGCTTCAGCAGGCTTGGCGGCCCACCAGACGGCGGAAATTCTTGCCTGCCGCAGACTGAGCGTTCATTGTTTAGGGCTTTCGGGTGTAGGTTTTAGGGCTTTCGGGTTTAGAGCCTGTGCTTCATGATGAGAAGGGCCGCAAGTATCTGTTTTCACCGACGGACCACTCACCTCATGTACAACAGGATACTCCGATGTACTCGGGGCTGTCAGTTGCACCCCAAACTCTTAAACTCAAGTCCCTTAACTCCTGAACAAGTAGAACCCTTGACCCCTGAATGCTTAGCCCACACCTCGAACCGAAATGCCTCGCCATATTCACTTGAAGCCTTCTGGATCCTCATGACACTTGCATGCCGTGGCCTTCTCTCCAGCTCAGGCTTAGAGCTCATGGTAGGCGTTTACCAAAATGGCCTTTCGGATTTCAAGCGTTTAGAGAACCACCACCGGCTATTTCTCACCACCACCGTCGAAGTCTCCACAAGATGGCGATGGCGTCTCCCAGCTCCCTCTATGCGCCTTTGGATTTGCGCGGATGCCCCGTGCTCATCACCGGGGCCACAGCAGGACTGCCTGGTCCACAAGCTTTTCGACACCCTGAACCCCAGCAATGCCATAGGCCCAATGAGTCAAGCCTTCGACTCCCTAATTAGGTTTTTGGATGCTTGCTTTAAGGTTTAGGGTTTAGGGTTTAGGGTTTAGGGTTGCTTTAAGGCTTCGTGCTGCAATTTCCGACTTGCATGATGAGAGCCAGAACTTGCATGAATCCGGTTGATTCCTCAAAGCCCGGTGGCCAAACACTGAAGGACAAGCAAAGCCGTCCATCCCAAAACGACAGACTCTTTTTGAACTCTCCGAAACTCCCAGCTGCCTCCTATAGTTACGTCATGGTTGAGCAAGTTTAGGGCTTATATGGGTGGTTGTCAAAATTAGGGTCCCTTTTTGGCTCCTTATTGTAATACGGCACTTAATATTTAGGGTACCCAAAAAAGTGACCCTAATTTTGACACAAACCCATATAGCCCCCTTTTCTAAATCCTTATATTCTAAATCCTTATAGTAGCCCTTTTTGTAACCCTTGTGGACCCCTTTAAAGGAGCCCTCTTCTATCATAATTATAGGGTTTAAGATCTTGCATCTTCGAAGTCTAAGCGCTCGAGCCGAAGGAATCGGTCGTGCCACAGCCTGGCGGTATGCAGAACTGGGCTGCAAGCTGGTGCGGGCCCTGGACCTCAACATCGAAACCACGATATACGGGTAGTTTTCTAAACAAGAGTCCCGTTTGAGGACCCCAATATACTACGGTACCTTATAGGACCGCGAAAAGGGACCCTAATTTGGAGAACATACTACGGCATCCCCATAAGAAGGACCCTTAAAAGGGACCCTAATTTGGAGAACTTCCCATATAGACCCGAAGCCACGGGATCCGCGATATACCCCACTTGGAGGGTCTTTAGGGGACTTAGTAAATATATGGGGCTCCTTTAAAGGGGATTCTAGGGGTTCCTTTTAAGGGCTCTATAGGGAGGGTTTAGGGGTTTAGGGTTTAGTAAGTAGCTGTAAGCAGGCTTATAAGTACCTTAAAAGGGACCCTAATTGGGGTTATGGTTCTTATAAGTCCCTAAAATAGCCAGTTACTAAGTCCCCCAACCCTCCAAGCAAGCATGGCACCTACACTGACAGCCCTAAGCCTAAAACCCTATCGAAAGCCCAATGAACCCGAAGCCCTAAGCCGTAAACCCCAAAGGTTTGGGCTTCAGTGCGTGGGGTTTGAGGGTTTAGGGTGCAGGAATTCGGGCTTTAGGGTTCAGGGTGTTGAAGTTCATGGAATGTTGATTCTTGATGGCTGAGTAACTAGGGTCCTGGATTATTGCTAAAGTGCAATATAATCCGATGCCCCATTCCAATTCTGAAGGGCTCCCCCGGCCCCCATAATACAGGGTTGTGGGTTAAAGGGTATTCGGATGACTTTGATGGGTTTCGGTGGCTGAGGTTTCAGGGCTGTGGGGTTTCCAGGTTTTTGGTTTTAGGGCTAGGGTTTCGAGGTGCTGTGGGTTTTTTTGTCATTCGGCAGGGCTCTCAAGGAAAGTCTACTCGTAAGCTGTAGTATGGCCGCAGGGCAGGGCTATAAGTGTTGTTTAAGCTTTCGGTGGGGTTTTAGGGAGAAGATAAGCGGGCATTGTTTGAGGCGATCTGCGGACGGCGCGGCGAGATGCTGGAGGAATTGTTGCACACTGCTTGGAGTCATTGGGCCTAGAAGGCCTAGTCATAAGCAAGCTTGCTATACCCATAGTTCCGATTGCAGCCTCGAGTTGAAGGTATAGCCATAGCCATGGTTGCAGTTGTAGTTTGCTGTTGTGGTTTGCCAAGGGTATTCTGTGTGACCACATTTCGCGGTCCATGAGTAGCTCAAGCCGCGTTACAGGGAGGCTCAAACATTGTCCATTTTCGTCCCTGGGGTTCCCGGATTCCCTAATCCAATATATGGGTGGTTGTCAAAATGATGGTCCTTTTCTGGATCCCCAATAGAATACGGCGTATTTGGGGTACCCACAAAGGGACCCTAATTTTGACAACCACCCATACGTATATCATAAAACCCCAGCAGAATCAAAGTCGAAGCACTTGCAGCCCAGAAAATGCGGGGTCCAAGGTGCCATCAACAACGTTCCCTTACCACGGCCCTTATGAAATGGTGAACGCTGCAAAGGAGCTCAAGAAGCAACTGCTGGAGAAGTTTCCCGAGCTGCCTCCTCCGATTGCGGTGGTCCTGGACGTGCCTTGGTCTTGCGTAGACTGTAGTCCCTTCTTTGGGTTACCTTGGTTTCTCACTATGTGCAGTGGAGTCAGTAGCAATGCGACAGCACCTGGACGACAACTGTGAATTCAACTAAAAAAATTAAGACATTGAACACCCTACACCGTGACCCATAACTGGTGAGGCTCAAAACACGTGGGATTGAATATGGATCGAAGGCATCAGGCTCAGATTTGCCGGGCTCGCCCCTCACCCATTGACGCTTCTTTGGAGGTTTTTGGAGGGCCCCTTTTCAACGATCATCAGCTGCTTCACTGCGGACCGTCCCCCAAACGGAACAGTTTACCAAGTCTTGCTCATCACAACTACCGAAACCCTAAACCGCAAAATCGTGAATCGTGACATCCTATCATCACTAAACCCGAACCTGCATACCGGTCTAGTAATTACCTAAACTAGGACCTAAACCCTATCCCATAATCGCCAATCCCTCGAGGCCCTTATAGTAAACGAACAAGGAACCCTACCTAAACCGATGCTGAAAGCTGACCTAAGCCGCTGTGGAGAAGGTCCAAGACTGCGAGAAGATCGCAAAGCTCCCTGCGCAGCTGAAGGCCTCCCTAACGAGGGGCTTGAATAATCAGCATGTGAAGGTTCTTTGGTAGCTGTAAGTGGGGTTATGAGCAGGGTAACTATAACTATATATATATATATAGTTATAGTTATAGCATGTTATAACCCCTTTTAAATCAGGGAAGTTATAGCATGTTATAACCCCTTTTTAAATCAGGGAAGTTATAACCCCACTTAGAACTACCCATGAACCTCCAAGCAGTGCTCTTCTTCTGGACATTCAATGTTTTGCAGGGGTTTGTGAGGTGTTGCAATGGTTCAAGGGTTTGGGTTTAGGCTTTAAGAGTCTATAGGGCTTAGGGAGGCTTGAGCAAGCAGTAGGACTACTACTACTGCTTTTCACCACTTCATTATCGAGCTCCCTGATGTGATTAAAGCAAGGAGTTCGCTGATCCCACACACGTCTTATGGACGATGCGTCACTAAAAGTCTTCGATCTACGCACACCTCACGCGACAAGCCCAAGATCGCAGACGAAATGCTGCCTTCCCCGGAGATGCTCTAATTCTACTTCTAGGCTCAAGACTTCCCGAGATCTTCATAAATGTTTGGGTTCTAGGGTTGGGGTCTAGGGAAGTCTACTTCCGGTTTAAATCCAGAACCCTTCGACCCCCAATCCTACAACATCCAACCCAAACCTCGCACTCCAATTTCCTATAACGATCTAAAACGCATACTTTTCCCTGCACGCCCAAAACTACAAACCCCATATCCCTAAACCCCGAAACCCTAAACCCACACCCCAAAACCACCCTAAACCCCTCGACCCCTAGAGAGGCCTTACAGCCAACCCTATAACCACCCTAAGCCCCGAAACCCCTCCTAAACCCTCAAGCCCCAAACGAGGAGGCCGGCATGCCTGATGTGGATATCCTCGTGAACAACGCGGGCTTGGCCTTGGGGGTCGCCAGCGCCATTGAGATGCTAGGCTTTTGACTTCAGGGGTTTCTAGGGTTAGAAGTTCAGGATTTGGGGTTGTGCAGTGCAGCGTTCAGGGTTTGTGGTTCAGGGTTTAAGGGTTCAGGGTGTGGGCTTGTGGAGTTTAGAGTTGAGGGCTTGGGCTTTATGGTCAATGGCAAGTTAGTTGTAGGGTCCTGAGACCATTCATGAAGAGCTGGCATCATCCGGGACATGATTGATGCACAGCCCGGGCCCCAAACCCCAAACGACCCTAAACCCTGAACCCTCAACCCTAAACGGCCCTAAACCCTGAACCCTGAACCCTAAATTCTAAGAGACAAGGCCTGACCGAAGCCCAGGAACGAGCTTGAAAACATCCAAACGATGCTCGCCACGAACGTGCAGGCAGTGATGCTCCTTGGCCGATGTATTCAGAGCTTAGGGTTTGGGGTTTAGGAATGATTGGTGTTAAACACAAATACGGCTTGGGGGTTCAGGGTTGAAGTTTCCCGCCTGACGACTGTACGTGCTTCTTGGGCGGGTTTGTTTCGCCGGGCCAAGTATGTGATTTACTGAAACCTTCATAAACCCTGAACCCCATAGGTCCCATAGGTGCTTAAGACTCTTTGGCATCTTTCGCATTAAAACCCTCACTGCCAGGTTCCTTGTGGCGACGTTTGGGCCGAAGATGAAAGACCGAGGCAACTTGGGCAAGTCTATGCTTTAGGGTTTAGGGTTTAGGCTTGCCTACCGGCTCATGCCCTACCTTTTTTTAGGATGCCAAGCTTCATTGGTCCGGATCTGATGTAAAGAGAAGTAGGTACCCTAACAAGCTGTAGCTTATGAGTCTACAGGAATGTGGAGGGTTTAGGGCTCAATGGTGTTGTAAGATCTCCGGCTGCGTGTGCATACTTGGAGCTATAAGTAGGGTTTCCTTGAAGGGTTCTAGAGGGCTTCAGGATGAGATGTTGGGGTAGCTTTCTGTGGGGTTATAAGTAGGGTAACTGTATAAGACTATAATTGTAACTCATATTAGCGGACTTCTGTCCCCACTTGTATTTAATTACCCATGAACCGTCCAAGTACGAGCAACCACAAGAACATGACAAGGTCTTCTAGCAGCAAAGAGGGATGAGCAAAAGCAATAGACCCTAAACCCTAAACTCTAGACCCGTAGTTTCAGGGCGAAGGGCTTAGATTAGAGGAACTTGCAGTCGAAGGGCCTATGCACACTTTGGTTTAGGGTTTGCAGGTTCTTTACTTTTCGGTATGGTGTTATGTGCTGTGTTTTCGAGTTCAGTCTTAGTTGCCCCAGCAAGTAGTCGATTTCGCAAGGTCCAACGAGTTCTTCAGGGCGTTGTGGTGCGTAAAGGTGTATTACCATTGAAGCCTTGGGACGGTGTGCGGTCTAGTAACGCTGTACTTAAAAGGATCATGGGACTTGGTAAGTTGGTTATAATTGGGTTTCTCGGTCGCCTAACTGGGGTTCTCCAAATTAAAACCTACTTGTAACCTTACTTACTAAGTCCCATGAGCCTGTAAGTAGGGTTGTTCCGAACAGGACCTGGGCAAGAATTATGGGAATTGGGGAGGACCCTGCGGTGGGGGGTTCCACGGGCTCAATCGTCAGCATTAAACAGAACAGCTTTGCCAATTGCTGAGGCTCCAGTCAATCAGGCCCACCCCTCAACCCTAAACCCTCCATTCTGTCCGCCAACCCTAAACCCTAAACCCCTAAACCCTAAACCCCTAAACCCTAACCCCTAAACCCTAACCCCAAACCCCCAAACCCTAAACCCTAAACCTCTAAACCCTAAGCCCCTAGACCCTTCACTCCGCCAACTCGAGCACCGGCAGGTCAAGGGCACATCGTCAACATCTCATCCGTTGCAGGCAGGGGTGGCACTCTCTTGCGAGGGTCACGGGAGGGTTTAGGATTTATGTTTCAGGGTTTAGTTTAGGGTTTAAGGTTCAGGCTGCAGGGTGTGGCTTAGAGTCTGCGCAACAAATCATGGAGGGAATCTGAACATGACTTGGACGGTAAGCCCCCTCAACCGCCTTAACCCCAATACCTTAAACCCCAAACCCTAGTACCCTACAGGGCATATGCTGCAAGTAAGGGTTTCTTTGCAGCCTCTCTAAGTTCCTGACTCCAGATCACTTTGAGGACCGTGGGACTTAGCATCTAAGGCTGCAGGGCTGTGTATGGTTCGATAAGGGTATTATAAGAGTGTTGCGGCCCTTACGGCTTTCCGTGGCTCAGTATCGAAAGATTGCAAGCACCTTAATTTAATAGGTGCTGTCGGTATTCTTTAAGTACATCACCCTGTGGATAACCCTCGTTACTAACTAACCCCGGTCATCCTGCATGCCTGCATGGAACCCGTTATTGAACCCTTTAAGGAACGCTTGAAATTGTGCCTTGAATGAATTTGGTGATCATGGTTTCGCAAGAACAGTTTGAGGTTTAGAGCTGGGGAGCGAAAGAGGGTTGCTGAGTGGAGTTTAGGGGTTTAGTGTTTAGGGTTCAGGGTCTTAGGGTTGAGGGTTTCCGGACGTTAAGAGCTGAGCTTGTCGGGGTTGCCTGCGAGTGCAAAGGTCAACTCTCGGCTTCTTTTTAGCAACGTATGGCCACGAACAACAAGATACTATAGGGGCCTGAACAATTACCAATTCTATTTTGGGGGCTCCTTGTTTTGCTATAGTATAATGGGCCCCAAAACCCCTATTCCAATTGTCAAGGCCCCTATAAATTTTAGTACCCTACTGTAGATTCCTTTTCGAACCCTTTTCAGGATCCCTTTCAAGGAACCCCTATTCTAATTATCAAGGCCCCTATATTAAATCCCAGACCCCTGCGGCGCCCAACAAATCCAATTTAAATCGCGAAGCGGTGTGCGCCAAGCACCCCGTGGTCTGTTGGGGGGTTTAGGGTTTTAGGGTTTAGGGTTTGGTGCTCCCTTTGCCAGAAGGCGTTGATGGCAGCGTACAAATGTCGCGGCTGCATTGAAAGTCGTCCGCACTCTATAGTTTGACAGCTCTGTCAGGCCATTACAAGCAGGGCAAAGTCAAGATCTTGTTCCACCTTGTCCACGATTCTTGCACCGAAGCAGAAGCCATCGGCAAGCACCTGCACGATTGGAAAGTGGCTGGCCAAGCAAGAGTGTTTCTTGAGCGTGAGGAAAAGGAGTCGAAGCCGAGAAGATGCGCTCGCTTAAACCCTAAGCCCCTAAACCCTAAACCCTACACCCACAACCCTAAACCCTAAACCCTAAGCCCTAAACCCTAAACCCTAAACCCTAAACCCTAAACCCTACACCCACAACCAGTATAAATCCCTGTAAAGATGCAGCCCTCAACCACAGGGTCCGTTTCGGGCATCGTTTAAAGTCTTGTTGGTGTTCTGCTATGGAGTATATCGTAATATAGTAATATATTGTAGGGGCCTTAGTATTATGTTTTCCGAGCCGGGGTATTGCGCCCTCTGGGGGGATATATCAGCTCCATCTTAATTATAACCACATGTCCTAATCCCTAAACCCAACGCCCTAAACCCTAGACGGGAGGCATGCATGTCTGTACGGGTGGTTGTCAGAATTATGGCCCCTTTTGGGGTACCCTTAATATTAGGTGCCCTCTTATAATAAGAACCCCAAAAGGAACCCCAAGATTGACAATCACCCATAGGGCTCTCTGGGCAGGTCATGAAGCCTATGTCGGAGGCTCTGCCTACTGTGCCACGAAGCATGCAGTGAATGCGCGGCTTTGCCTGCAGGATAGCCGGGTTTTCGGGGTGTGTAGGGTTTAGTTAGTTCGGGTTTAGGGTGTGGGGCTCATGTCATGTAGGCATGTAATGAACGGTTGGTTTAGGCCTTAGGTTTGTTGTTATTCTTCGTGTTGCGAGTTTGGCGTGTTTTACGTTTGGGAGTTTAGGATTGTTCTGCAACGTGTTTTGAGGCGAGGTTGCCTTTCACATGATCGTGTGTGCTATCTTTCCGCTGAGTCAAGACTACAAGCTGCTGTTTCGTCAGATCGTGACAGGTCCACTCCCGTCTGCTTTTGATCTCAACCCCTCCAACCCGGAACTCTACAGCCTACATAACCCTACTATCTCAACACCACATCCCCTACCTTTTTATGGACTCAAACAAGGAGCTCATAATAAGAAACCCGTGAACAGAGAATTTTAGAGGGTTCAAGTAAAGCCTAAGCCCTCCACTCCCTCAACACTAAAAACCCTCGAGCTCTTGGGACGAAGCATTGGATTAATTGGGTCGTTTGGCCAAACCTCCAACCCCAAGTCAGAGATGTCCGATGCTGCGCTTGCGGAATGTAGGCCCCTGGCCAGTGCCCCGCCCTCCCTCCCTCCCTCCCTCCCATTCTTAATAAGGAGTAAGAAAAGGATCCGACTATGATTCCTGTGAAGGAAGCGTGGCTTCGTGGCTATGAACTAGAGGACTAGGGCCATTCCCGAAAACCCTGAACCCCGAATAGAGCCCCGAGACTTCTCCTTTCACGTAGGCCTCATAGCCCCACTTTCTTTGAGGGCCCCTATAATGCCCTAAGGGTCCATGTACCCATATAGAGATACATGGGCCCCAATGTACCTATATAGGGACTACATTAAGGTCAATGTTATACTATATGAGTACATGGACCCTTAGGGATGTCTAAGCCGCTTCAGAGCTAAACCCCTAGCTCAGGGTCGGTTGTTGTTTAACTCAGAGCTCTGCCCGAACCCTAAACCCGCCCTTAACCCTAAACCCCTAAACCCCCAACCCTAAACCCCTAAACCCCCCTAAGCACCAACCCCTAAGCCCCTAAACCCCTAAACCTTTAAACCCTGAGCCCCTGAACCCCTAAACCCCCAAAACCTTAATCCCTAATCCCTAAACCCCTAAAACCTTAATCCCTAATCCCTAAATCCCTAAACCCCCCTATACCCTAAACCCTACATGACATCTGCATCAAGGTTCACCATCGCCACCCGCCATGACTTGGCGGGCACACCTATCAGGCCACCCGGGCTTGGGCCCGCTTGGAGGGTCGTGGGACTTAGTAACTGGTTATTTTAGGGAATTATAAGTACCATAACCCCAATTAGGGTCCCTTTTAGGGTACTTCTAACTCTACTTACTACCTACTTACTAAGTCCCCCGACCCTCCAAGCACCTGTAAAGGTTCGAGGGTGCTATTGTAAATACAGCAGGTTTCCTAGGGTTCCTTTAAAGGGGGTCTGTCTATAAGGGTTACTAGAAGGGGATCTATAAGGCTACTAGAATATGCGAAGAGCTATAGTAGAAGCCCAAAGTTTGGGAACCCAATAGCTTCAATCCTTAAGAGTAATGTATAGGTAATCCCAGCACTATTTGGCCTTAATCAGGTTTCCAACTTTATGGGTTTATTATACAAGGTTTCTAGAAGAGGTCAAGAAGGGTTCTATACGGGTTCTGTACCTAAACCCACCCCCCAAAAGTATGTAAAATAATGGCCCAAGACCTATAAAAAGGCAATGATTCTACATGATTTTGGGCTCCAGGTAAGGGTTGAGGGGCTCGGGGGCTTTCTCGTATCCTCGTTTTCGTGACTGTGTGGGATCCTTAATAGAAAACGAGGCTAACCCAGGGAAGAAACGAAAAACGGAAGAGGTTCGTGAGGATTCGTTGAAGGCTTTAAGCAAGAAGCTTTTGGTATATGAGTGTAGATTTCAGGGCGTTTGAGATTCACCACTCTATTAGTTATTAGATTCAGTGTTTAGGGGTGGTGTATGGGCAGGCAGGCAAGGCTTATCGACTGCTGCCCTTTTCGGTTTCGAGGGGCCTGCGCAAGGGAATAGGAATAGGGTGCGTTTGGTGAAAGCTGTGCTTTTTCAATCCCTACAAACCCTAAGGCCCTCAACTCCCAAACCCCTAAACCCCCATAAGCATCCGTGACTGGGCTTTCAATTGTGCGTTCTGTCTGTGCGCAGTCCAATAGCCGAAGCTTACGCCGATGGCCACTCCAGGCCCCAAGCCCTGAACCCTCAAGCCTAAGCCCTACACCCTAAGCCCTAACCCTAAACAATGTTCCTTACAAGCTTGAAGACTCAAGGCCTCCGCCGGTCGTTTGCTTGAGGGTTGTTGACACCCAGCACCCTAAATTCAAGGTTTAGCCTGTAAAATCCCCACTGCCGGTTGGTTGGATGTCGTGAGAAGGCAGTGACGATGAGCGCGTCAATCGTGAAGGTGAGGACGATGTTGACGCTGATGTTTACATTGGCATTGGTGTTGTTGTTGATTGGATGATGGTGGTGATGAAAGCCACGAGGATGATCATGACGATGCGGGGGATCAAGATATCAGGCATTTGGTGTTCATTGATGTTTCTGACTTGATGGTGATGCTAGGCGCAGGCAGAAGATGAAGACGTTGATCAATATGGTAATTGCGCCTATGTTCTTGACGTTGATGATGACGGCAGCGAAAACTTGTTTGAAACCCCGCAAGCTGCACACTAGACACTGAGATGTTTGGCTGACAGGGTGACAGCGATCAGCCCTGGAATGGTTGAAGCTTGGCTCGAGTTGCATGTATGCTGCATGTTTGCATGTGTGTCACACACATACACATGCATATACACACACACACAGTGTGTGTATATGCATGTGTATGTGCACATGTACATGTACATTTACATGTATGGACATATATATATATATATATATATATGTACGTGTAGAGGTGTTCATGTGTGTGCACATATGTGTGTATGTTTTGTGTGTGTGTATATATGTATGTTTCTGTCAACTTTTGCAATACTGTATTACAGTGTGTTTGTCATATTGTTTTGTATGATCGTAGATCAGATTATATCACAGGCCTCATACGGGAGTATATCATGTTTTGTACAGGTACATAATTCTCTAGTTAGTTAGTTAGTTAGTTAGTTAGTTAGTTAGTTGGCCAGTTAGTTAGTTAGCTTGTTCGTTTGTCTGTGTGTTTGTTTGGTTGGTTGTTTGTTTGTGTGTTTGGTGGTTAGTTTGCTAGTTCTTCTACTTGTTAGTTTGTCAAGTAGCTAGTTATAGCCTTTGTTACCAATGGACTGGTTGAGTGATACAGTATATATTTATCTAGTTATGTGTTTACCCATATGCATCAATTCATTTATGCATTTGTTTGTACTAGTATAGACTACTTACGTTCACATGCTTCACTAAATTTATGGCTAGCTGTATTCTACCTGGCTTCAACGACGGTTTAAGCCTTTAAGCTTCAGCAAGACTGTGTGCAACCCGACACTTCGGCAAGTTCTGCATCCATTATGTTAACAGACTGTTAACAACTCGCAGAGGGTTGAAACCCGAAACTGGCAGGCTGTGTTGATGTTTCGGGTGTCTAAGGATGAAGGGTATTGGCTCAAACATCAGTAAAAGCCTACTTTTGAGTCATTTCCAGCATTATTCCTTATGGTTCTTATATGTAAACTCTAAAGGAACCCAACCCCCATTCTAATTTTTAAGGAGCCTACATTAGAAGCCCTGGGGTCAACCGCTTGACAAGGGTTCGAGATCTGCAAAGGTTTGGGGTGTTTGGTACTAGGACCACCAAGGGCCCGTTAATAGAGCCCTGATGGCCCTTAGTAGTGAGTATTCGGGGTATACCAGAGGGTACTTGTGGCTAGGTGGTCTGCAGAGGTTTGGGATGTTTGATATGCCCTAAACCCAAAACCCTAAACCCTAAACCCTAAACCGTTCCGACGTCTAAGGGCCCAATGCTCTAAACATGAAGCACGACAACCTTCGACCCCAAAACCCGAGCCTCAACCTTCAACCCTACCTGACTTCAAACCGAAACATTCGCAACCCAAAACACAAGCACCCCACATCCGAAGCCCTAAACACAAACCCTTGCTACTAAACTCTGAACGCCTGCCCCCGGCTTGCGAGCAGCATCAAGCTCTAAACCCTGAGCCCTGAAGCCTAAAACTTCAAAACCCTGACACTCTAAACCACCTTGTAGAACCCTTCTAGGACCACCTTTTTCTCGAACTCCGTTGAAGGAATCCTAGACTCTAAAACCTTGCAGGACCCCAAATTTGAAGCCCATCAAACCTCAAGCCCTAAACCCTAAAAACTGAACCCAAAGCCTCTTAAATAATATTATGGTTTCCAAAAATGGCAGCTAAAATTATAGATAACCATATTTAATTCTACAGTATAGATTCCTGATATGTTACCTTAAGTTCAACTTCGTTTATAAGCCGAGAAGGAGCCCAAAGGTCTCCCCAAGAAATGCCAGGAAACCGACTTCTCGAAGGTCCGGTTCAAGGGCGATGAATCCAAGGCCGCCAAGGCCAGAGCCCGCGACGATGGTTTAGTTTAGGGTCTACGGTTTGGGGTCTGAGGTTTAGGGTCTAGGGTTTAGGGTCTAAGGTTTAGGGTCCAGGGTATAAGACTTAAGGGCTTAGGGCCACGGGGTTCAGGGCTGGGGGTTTAGGGGTGTTTGGGGTTTAGGACTCAGGGTCTATTGCTTAGGGCTTGTGCACCTATCAAGATGTGCCAGACCCCCTGTGCAAGGTCAGGGTTCAGGGGTTTTGGTGTTAAGGCAGACCTTAAAGTTGACGACCCTCCAAGTGGAAGTTGTGTTCCAACAGATTCCAGCATTTTGAACCAATCCTCAAGGGACTTGGGTTCAGGGCTTAATCATCTTCTTTTGTACTGCCCGATTTGGGGGGATTTAGGATAGAGCTCTTAAGCCGGAACCACTGAACCCTGAACCCCAGACCACTAGAAAGTATAGGGCTCTTAAGCATTATCTATATTAGTTTGGGAGTTTCTGATTTATTTTTAGTATAACGTTCCCCAAAACCCTATTCCAACGACTAATGCCCCCATATTACCCTAAACTCCGGGCAGGGCCTTGCCTGCCCATGATAATTTACCAGGTCTACGATAAGGATTTAAAGGTCCAATATCCTCGAAGCTTTTAACACTCGGTAACACAAAAGTCACCCTGCAGGCTAAAACCCTAAACCAAATACAACCCTACACCTCAAGACCTGAACCCAAGAACCCCCAAACCCGTCAAGCAGCTACAAGCCATGGCGAGGTCTACGAGAACATCCTACCCTTGCTTGCAGAGGATGTGGCGGATCAGATCATCTACGCGACCACCCGACCCAGGTTTGGTTCTGGGGTTTAGGAATTAGGGTTTAGGCGATTCAGTATTTCAGGATCCATAAGGATATAGGGCTGCATGTGCAGGGCTTTGAAGCTTTTGTGTTTCGAGTCTGGGATTTGGGGTTTACATTTTAGCTTTTGGGGTTTAGGGTTAATGGGGCTGAGAGGGTTTTCATGTTAAGGACTCCTGGGCTTCGACTTGGGTAGTTCTGGGTTTAGGCTCTACGGACTGTCTCGGTGATTGTTTAGGGTTCAGGGTTGAGGTACCTCAGCTGAATTTCTAACCCCAACACCTATAAACCCTGTACCCCAAAACCGTTTTCGGGCCGGGGAACTCAATAATTACGGGTCTTGACGTTTCGGGCAATCTGCTCCAGCTTAAGCGATGCCATTGTTGGACCTTTCCCCTAAACCCTAAACCATTTCTATGTTTCTGTATAAGGTTATAGGGTTGCGGGGATTTGGGTTGCCTGGTTGGGTTTACGATTTGGTTCCTACACCCTAATCCCCTCTACCCAAAACTTTTGAAATCCCTAAAGCCTAAACTGTAGGTTATAGGGTCCTCAGGGGAGGGTGGTTCAAGCAGGGAGGGTACAAGGGATCCTGCAAAAACCTTAAGGGTACCTTCGGGAGCGCTAGAGAGAACTAGGGATTAGTAGGTTACCTATCCCCCTTGGGGCCCCCTCCCATAAGGATACTATACAGTAAACCCGATAAAGTTGGAAACCGGATTAACGCCAAATAGTGCTGGGATTCCCTATACCTTCCTCTTAAGGATTGAGGCTATTGGGTTTCCAACTTTTAAGCTTTTACTATAGCTCTTCGCATATTCTAGTAGCGTTATAGATCCCCTTATAGTAACCCTTATAGACAGACCCCTTTAAAGGAACCCTAGGTTTCCTCTACTATGCCTGAGCTGCAGAGGCTCTGCAGAGACTCCCGCTCGCACCAGTTCGGTGTCTCGCTTAGGGGTGTTTAGCATTAAACAGGTCTCCGTAAGGTCTCTTGAAAGCCCTAAGGGTCCAACGGACCCAATAATGAGGTACTCGGATTTAGGATAGTAGTTATGTAGGTTAGGATTTTGGAGAGTATATGATTATTCGATACTTGGACACTTGGGGAAGGGTATCACCAGGACACCAGGGGCCTCTTCTACAAGTTATTACCAGGGTTTCGGAGAAGGGCCCGAGCATTCAGAATAGGATGTTGGTGTGAGCTCTGTTTGTAGTTTAACTGGGTTGAAGATGCTTAAGGAAACCGTTACCGGCCCATACATGAACCTGAGTGAATAATGTGAAAGCTTTTCGACCACTTCACATTTAGTGCTCCATGTTCCAGATGCTTTGAGGCATGTGCAGATTGCGGACATCATCTCTTACGCAACGAACCAGGCCAGTGATGCCTTCACAAACATGCGCACGACACAACACTGGCACTGGAGACCTACTTGAGCATGGATGTTCGGGGAGGCTTTTGCTTTGGCAGTATTGATTTGGTCTGATGTGAGGTGCTTACTTACTGCGGGTATCAGTCCCGAAACTTTCCAACTCTTAGGCTGGAGGCTCGTCTCACTGTTTGCCCTGAACTTTGGGCCCTAACCCTAAACCCCTAAACCCTAAACCCTTGGGTTGCATCCTCAACCCTAGAGAGACCTTTCTTCAAGAACGCCAAGAACCCTTTACACCGCAGCCCAAAGACGCCATTGTTGGTTATACCTGACAAGAGTATTTTTTTTTGGGGGGGTGGCGTCTTCTTTGATTGAGAGTCCTTGTAGCGAGGATCCCACTATCCATGGCATTCATGAAGTCTCGATGTTTATGAAACTCCCATTTATGAGGAGTCGCTGTTTTGTGCATGGCGGGTGCTGCCTGTAGACTCGCGGTGCTGTTGTTACCTGCGCCACAACGTGCTTGTGACTACATGCTCCACACTCCTGTGGTTTTTCCAGTCATGATAACCCAAAGGGTCCAAGTAACAATGTGGTATGGAATTTTGGACCCCAAATACCTGCTAACAGCCTAAACGAATCACTATATTGGTACATGGAGCCCAAACCCTAAACCCCATAAACCCCGTCAACCCTAAACCCCAAACCGTAAACCCTAAACCCCTTAAACCCTAAACCCCAAACCCTAAATCCCAAACCCTAACCCTTTGGGGAAAGCATCACAGTAGCCGCGACCTCCCCAAACGATGGGAGCACCCGGCCTATCAATCCTACGCTCTTCTGCGCTGAACTCTACTTGGAGGTTCATGGGCATAGTTATAAGTGGGGTTATAGGGTTCCTGTAGGGGTACAAAGGGTTTAAGGTTTAGGGTTTAGTTATAAGTGGGGTTATAAGTCCCCTATAATATGGGTTATAAGTGTAGTAACCCTACTCATAATCTCAGTTACAACTACCCATGAGCCTCCAAGTAGCCTCTAAACTTAGGGACCCAACAGAAACAGAAGCATAAACATTTAATAGGGACCTAGACCAAAAAAAACACCAAATACCCACTATTCAAAGGGCTCTATTCAAGGGCCCTTGGGGGGTCCTGGAATGGCGGAACCGTAAACAATGTCCCATAAACCCAAACTGCCCAAAACCCTACAACCTGCAGCCTGAACCCCTACATGCCCAAACCCCAAACCCTCAATCCCTAAACTCTAAACCTCTAGTCTGTAAACCCTAAAACCAGATTCTAAACCCTAAACCCTAAATCCTAAATCCTAAACCCTAAACCCTAAACCCTCTACACTCAACCCACGCTCCTTCGGACGCAGGGTCATGCGAAGTACGTCATTGAGCGCAAAGGCCCTCCGATCGAGTTGAGGGGTTCAGGGTGTAGGCCAGAAATTTAGGCTTTAGGTTTTCAGGATGTTTTATTCAGGTGTAATTACAGTGATTACAGTTCATGGTTTAGTTTTAGGCCTTAGAAGCTCGATTGTAGTGTATGTGGAACGGGTAGCATGAGTCACCTCATTATAGCTGGTTTTAATTCACGTTATTACAGCATACCCCATAGCATGATTCGTTTAAAACGAAGTCCGGAAGTTACCTGAGTCTGCCAATGCTGCCTGTAGATGAACCAATGAAGGGTGTTGCTGTATAGGACTCATGCAAGTCTTCGGGTTTTTTGTGGCGGGTTGCAACTATACATTGCAGGTATCGAGATCATGCAATATGCATTCGAACGTGGATGGTTCCTTACATCCTAATATTAGGCATCCTGTTTGTGTGTATACACCCTATGAAGCATGCTCGCAGGTCCATATTTCCAGGTGTGTGGGTGGCATAGGCACTGGGTTTTGAGGCTTGAGGGTTTAACGCCATCTCGTCTCCGCCCCAAAGCTGGCCTGCGCTGAATGTTCTGCTCACCCTGCAGCATCGGAGCCGATTTTGCGAGCTACTGGTTTCCTTTCGCAAAATACCTCAAAAGGGAGCCCCAATACCCGAGAGCCAGCTGGATTCTGGCGGTCGGTAGCCTTCTGCGGGTTTGTAATTTTGGACCCGCAACCCGATCCATCCTGAACGTTAAGCGCTGAACCCTGAACCCTAAACCTTAAACCCTACACCTTATAAACCTTAAAGCCTGCACCCACCGTTTCGGTCACAACGCCTGTGCTCTGAACTCCTCTGTCAGGAGAGTCGATGGGCGCTCCCGGCGCAGGAGGCGCCAGGGCCGTTTCCTATTCTAGTCGTGAAGGCCTCGTATTTCTTCCACTCCTATACTAGCCCAGGTTCAACCCGTCAAAGGGAACCCGTTACTTAAGGGAACCCTATTCTAAGAATCCCAGGGCGCCAGGGGGGGTTCTCTTGGTTTAGATGTTGGGCAGGAGTCCAGGCTTTGAGACTCTTTAGCATTTACCCTAAGGCTCCATGTGCCCTTAAGTGTCCTTCGGGTTTCTTCGAGTTTATGGGGTTTAGGGTTTCGGGTTTGCAGGGTTTCGGCATTCAGGCTTCTTGTAGTAGAAGCCGGAAAGTGGGAACATCCTTATCCGCATGCACTGAAGGTCAAGTATAGGGAATCCCAGCATGAATCTTCCTATATCCAGGTTCCAACTTTCTGGGTTCACTGTACAATATCGGTGGTCATCAAAACTAGGACGATGTTTGGATTCCCCAAACTATAGGATGTCGTATTGAGAGTAGGAATATATAGGGTTAGGCAACGGGTCCATGATTATGACAGGTACCAAACCAGTACATAGTTAGGCTGAAAGGGGGAACCCCATATGGGTGCTAAGTATATACCACACGGGCACGTGGAGCCTTCCTTAACCCTGAATAACCTTCATTTTCACGGACCTATATAAGGAAATCATAATAAGGAACCCCCAAAAGGTAGGTTATTCAGGGTTAAGGTCAGGGTTAGGGTTTGAGGGATGGCTTTTGGGGGGCCTTTTTTGGGGGGTTGGAGGTGGGGCTTTCCGTGTTCAGGGGTGGAGACCCGATCGAAGAGCTGAAACCATGAAGCCCCAACCCTGAACCCACTGAAGCCCTAAACCCCTGAACCCTACACCGTACACCAATTAGGGGTACCTTACTTTGGGGTCCTTGTAATAAGGATCCTACTATTTACGGTTCTATATTAGGCCCCCATCCCCCCCCCCACCACCACCAAACCGCTAGAATCCGCTAGAACCTACCGGAACCCTCTGTTGGGTTCCTCATTATGATTTCCTTGTCTATTTGTATATCTATATATATATATATATATATATATACATATATGTCCTCAAAAAAGTAGGTTCTCTCGGGCCCAGGTAAAGCCAACATCCTAGACTCTGTCCTAGACTCGACCCTAAAGCCCCAAACCCGGAACCCTAAGTATTAAATCCGAGGCTTTTAACGGCGTGTACCCCAGAAGCCAGAAAGTTGGAACATTAGTATCCTCATGCCTTAAAGGTAAACTATTCATAAGGGATCGTAGCACCCATCCTCCTAAACCCATGTTCCAACTATCTGGGGTTCACTGTAAGAGCTTAAAAAAGACCCAAGTTGGGGGAAATGGGTTTCAGGCTCGACAGTTTGAGGGCTTAGGTCTTAGGTTTTTGGCCCTTTTAGGCTCTAGGGTTTGAGGGTTTCAGTATTTGGGCTTAACCTTAAAGAGTTCTATAAGGGTACCATAAGGGTCCTATAATATAAGGGTCCCTTTAAGGGTTCTTTAAGAGTTAACCCTACACCCTAAAAATTAAAGGCCCCCTGCTCAAACTGCTTCGCAGCCTGGAGGCAGCTAAAGCTCCCTTCGCCGATGGATGCATGGACTGAGTAGGGTGTAGGGTTCAGGGTTTAGGGTAGGGGGGAGGAGTGACGCTTGGTCGCTCCTGCTGTCTTGTCTTGGGCCCTGCCCGCGCCGGAGCTCCCCATCCAATAGGTTATTGGAAAATAGTTTTGTTGTGGTTGTCGTTTTGCATGTGGAGGGCCCGCAGACAGTACGACTGGCAGGCTTGAATATGCGATTCTTCGTTAAGCTTTCTGCAATCAATGAGGGCTCCGGCAAGACAGGTTTTAACTTTCCAGTAGGAATGCCTTAGTGGCATGCCGTGCGATGGCTGGAAGAGGCAGTCTCCTTCTTCAGCTTCTTTGTGTATAGCTTCCCCGGCAATACCATTACTTTCACTCGTTTGCTGAGGTGTTAGCGGCACAGCCGAGTTAATCCATCATGTAAAGGGCGTGGAACAGGTTTCCCGAACATTGGCAGGTGTCTGGCAGTTCGCAATAGAGTATGAGTATTCAGGATGAAGCAAAGCCAGCCCAAGAAAGGACAAGTAAAGTAAGCAAGTAAGTATGTTTGTTTGTAACGGGGTCATGGCCCTTGGGATCTTAGTACATGGAGTTTCCGAGAGCCCTAGATACGAGGCCCCCTTACAGAGACACCGCAGCGCAAGATGTCATGGATTTTCGACGCAGCCGGCGGGCGACAAACGGCTCCAAGTACAGGTTTAGGGTTCAGAGGTTCAAAGCTTTGAGGTTTCTACAGGGCCGCAAGTTTCAGTACTGATATCCCCGTAGAGTAGAGGCCTTCTATAATTTCAGCACAAAAACTATGCGAAGTAGGGCTTGTTTGAGGCTTTTCGTGAGTGCAAGACAGGGTCCTTGGGAAATTTGGTGAGTTCAACGAGCTTTTCTGGGGCCCTTCTTTTGGGGATACGGTTTTAGGGTTTAGGGTTTAGGTACCATAACAAGGAAATTACCATAATTCCCATGTGTTCCTTATTATGCGTAATGCAGGATCTATATCATCAACCGTACCACCACTTAGCAGCCTATAGCACATGCCTCACCTCCCTTTATATAACCCTGCTCTCTAAACACATGAACACTGAATCCTTAAACCCCTAAGCCCTTTACCTCTCCCTAAACCCTGAACCCTAAGGGTCCATGTGCCCAAATAGTATATACTTTGGGCCCAATGTACCTATATAGTGAGTACTTTAAGGCCAATGTATATACTATATGAGTAC